AGGTGTCTCTGGTAATATGTCTGTTTATTGTGCGCCGTGTTTTTTTGGAGCACACGAAAGTCTGCGGTGCGATTTGCGCAACGCGGAATTCCGACGACTTCCGGTTTGGATGTTAAACCGAACAATGTACAATCCCCACACGTTCAGCGAAGTGTCGAAATTCGCAGAAAGGAACCGCCGTCCTACTCCTCCGTCCTTCACCCGGAGGACACCCGTTTCTCTCTTACCGCGACACGCAAGCTCGCCTGAGAAATAAACAGGCACGATATATTCAATAAATAACGAGACGCGTACGAGATAATTGAGAGACCATAATTGCGCGCATCTTGCGTATTTCGTGCCGAATAAACGCGACCATCCCGGCTGGTTCGCCATGTGGGCCCCGTCGGGGGACCGCGGATGCCTCCCTCCGTTCGGTAGGATACAAAGGGACCTTCGAGCGAATACGCCGCGACAAACAAAAGGGCTCGGTGCGTCGACTTCGCGGTCGCTCCTTCGCCGAACGTTTAACTCCCATCATCGGGAGACTCTTCCCTCCGCCGAATCGTCCTCGCTCTCTCGCCCCCTCGTCCCCTCGTTCCTCTCTCCCGGTCCCACCGCGTGCCCTCCATCGTCTTTCATCCCGCAGCGTTATGTCATGCGCTTCCCTTTTCCACTATTGAACACTCATCAGCCACCTGTGATCGTCCTCGACTTTCTCCAAAGTTATAATTATGTTGGACTTTGTGGTGTAGTCCGCTGCGTGTGTTACGCTTGTAGATCCATCGGCGTTCGTTCTTAGCACGCCTTTACTTCCGCTTGCTTGGTAAAATATTCATCTTCATATCTTTTCTACCTTAAAAGATTTGTCAAATATTTGACGATTATTATCGATATTGTCACGATTCAAAGACTAAGACATGTTGAGCAAAATACAAATTTTATACACTTAACCTGTCTGCTAATTTGCATATTAATGAGACGCAGAATATAGTTTACAAGTGTAAATAATTTTATAATTGTAAATAAACAGGAAGCGAAGAAATGCATATCTATTTGCTTATTAAATTTACAATAATTTATATTCAATATAAAAATATTCAAGTTAATTTCAGAATTTAAAAATAAGCTAAACTCATGCACGCATGTACGTGTCAATGTTCTTGAAAAGATAAGATCATCTCAAACAATTTGTTTTTACGATAGCTTTTGCAGATTTGTGGTTTATAAGCATACGAGCAAGAATTATGACGATGCAATATAAGAAAGCAGTCGAAACTTGACGCTCTACCCTCGGAACGATCACGGCCATGAATCGCCGCGTTAGGATGGTCGGGAGACAATTAAGATGGTATCGTTTAATTAGGGCCAGGCCCTACGAAAACAAAGCCGTCCGACGCCATACGCCTTTAACGTCGACGCGTCGACGCCGCTAGTCGATTCTGCCGTCCTTCCGTATCGTTACCAAAACGCGTGATAAATTGACTAGAAATAGGCGAGTCGAGGCAGGTGATGTCAGATTGGCAGATGTTTTTCGTTACCCGACGCCTTTTACCGCAAACGTTATTACCCTCGTTCTTCTCTTCGTACCCTTCATACACGCTAGATATGATAACGTATCGCTACCGTTTATACATATGACATCAAACTGTGAATCCATCAGATTATCGTATTAAATGCCCACATTCTTAATTTTAAGATTTAATTCGGAAAAGGACGATGATTCCATGCATCCTAGATATCAAAACAAAAATACTAAAATGGCATTCTATTTTGCTTTCTGAATTTTTTGCATCTATTACATTAAGAAACAGGATTCATTAAATTTATAAATGTGAAAATATTCGTTAAAAAAGTAGTAGTGAATTGCTCTCATAGACTGATGCTAGCGTTACAATATGGAAAAGAGGATCAAATTATGCTTCGTTAATTTAGTAATTTGAGCACTTCGATATCATTGCTATACCATAATTTATATCACATCACTATTAGCCGATGGAGTATCGTGTATCGACGTCGTTATCAAGAATTACATGAAGCTCGGATAGAACGTTCTCGGTACATATTTATGGACGTATGTTAAAGATGCATTTCGCTCTGCCTTATTTAGCACCGCGCGTTCCAGTACTCTACGCAATTATATTCCGCAAAGCGTACGATTTCGCCTTAATGAGCGCCGTCGAGCAGACACCCGTTTTATCGGATCGCGAAACGTCTCTCGGCGCGCGGCACGTGATTGAAGCACGAAGGATTCGCCTAGGATTAGCGGTATCGATCGACGATAATCCGAGGGAACGATCACGGCTGGCGTACCTCACGCATTATGAAAGCGGTATCGTTCGAGAAAGAACGATGCCGGGGGATACGGTGACTAGATTATGGAGTTTGCACCGCGCGGAATTATAACTGTGGTGATGGCGCGGTGGGACGATGGGGTGGTGGAGGAGGAGGAAAAAGAGGGGACGCATGGCTGTGAAGGAGGGAGCTTGTATATGTAGTGCCGCGTATGTACCATAATGTCCGGCGATACCGCCCGCGGGTGAGCGGAGGAGGGCGAACGAGAGGGAGAGGGATCGTTCTCCTGAGCTCTTCTCTTCCGCGCGAGATATGAGATACTCGCTTGAGGATCGTCACGCCGTTCCACACCCCCGTAACACACGCATGCACGCGAGCCAGCGCATAAGGGTCCGTATACACCCACTCGGCTCATCTTTAATCCGTTAGATTCCGTGAATGCTTGCGGCCGGCCTCTACCTCTTCTCCTCCTTCTCCCCTGCTCCCCCTCACGACGTTGATTCGAGACCGCGATTCCGCGTAATTGGGATTAGATTATTAGAGTCCTGTGCGCCTCTTGTACCCCCTTCCTCCTCCGCCCATTTCTCTCTCGCTCCCGGCAGGAATTCGCATCACATCGCGCACGTTTCAGTGGAAACATGGATTATGCTCCCGTGAGCGTGATATCCTCCGGCTCTTCTCCCGCCTTCCCGCGGTAATCAAAGTGACCGGCGTACCTCGTTTTAGGAGACGCGCAAAATGCGTTTAATCTTTTTCGCGCAGCACTCTTCCTAACGTAGGATTGTGAAATGTGTGTACAATTGCAGTTTACAATTCAATCTGTCCAATTTGAAATCAGACGATCTCAACGAAATAAGAATATTAACTTTACATCGAGTTTTTTTAACTCGTTTCACGTATTTCAATAGAAATATATACGTCGTATGATTTGAAATTTTTACTCTTACGATTTTTAACAGATTTAATATCTGATTCTTTTTTTAAATCCACGGAGCAAAATAATTTATATGAAAAAATGTGAGAAGCTTGGCTTGAAATTCAATAGCTCGAAAAAGTTGAAAATAAACTTATAAGAGGAAGTTAATACAGAATAAGATATTACTATTTGTAAACGCGAACAATGCTCTGTTTCATAGCATAGTATATGACGAAAATATATCTATGTTGACAAAGGGGAGGGAAAGACATATGTATATAAAAGAGACGCGACGAAGAATCTTCAATCCGCCCGTATACAGACGAGCATTCATTGCGACGAGTTCGCCATTGAATTCGCTGCGCTCATTTCGTCTTTCGTTCTCACATTGCCCGAGCGGAAACATTGATATTCCGTCGATAGATAAGCTCTCGGCCGATCGATCGCAAACACAGCTGGGTTCACTCAGGTAATCCGAATACAACGAGCCGTTGTGTTACCGCGGCGGTTCTCCGCGGCTTTGTGTATCTTACCCGCCGTCTTCTCCGGGCGATCCTCTGCACACGCAGCTTGCTGCAGTTCTGCGTATTTCGCTATCTTTCGGCTATCCTCGGAAATGCCAACTCTGTTTGACCGGTTTAACCGACTAGAGGATTCCTAAATATACCGTTTGCGAAGTCATTCTCTCACAAGCGAGCTAACTAGTCTCATCTGACGGATACAATTTGGAGTATCTTTAAAGTCCGTACAAGATTTTTAATTTTTTAAAGCTATATATTATATATATATA